CAAACAACTACAATTTCAGTATATGTATTGCACGAACGCTAAATTTTCACTTTAAATTCTGTATGTTTCTAATTTACAACTTCCCATCTATGTGATAAATAAACCTTATTAATATTTCTACATTTTAATTATTTGATGGTGAGAGAAACGTCTTCAACATTCTATAAAAACGATAAATTTTGTCTCAATACAAAAAGTATAGTCATCTCTTGGTCAGTTTTTTTTTTTGTCATTTAGTGTTTCATTTCAGTCAGGAAAAGCACAGTCTACATGTATATGATGTATTCTTCTTTAATCACATTGCTGCGCTTATTATTTTAACATGTATGTCATGGAAGTTTCGATGACCCGATTAAAGTATGCGTTAAAAATAATGGACATTCCATCAGTTTTACCTCCTGCATGCACAATTTTGAGCCATACTTGCATTGTTCATAATTTGTACTTATCAATTCTCATTTGTTTGGCTATTTTACTTTGGAATATGATTTGAGTAGAAATTTTATTTCATATTTTACTGTAGAAAAACTTGAACTTAAGAATCCAAATATTTATCATTTCTTGATAAATAAATTACTAGTAACATTTTGCATCGAAGTCACGTTATAGATCTTGCATGTTCCAAATATCAAGATATTTATACTCGTAATGTAAACGTGATTACATTCAAAATATTATCCTGTAGTCATAATTAACACCATAAACGAAACATTTTGGAAATATAAAAACAAACCTTGAAACTTTTACCAATAAATTCAAGCGAGAAGACATACTAGTATTGATTTTTTTATCAATAGTTTTGTTTTAAACTTATTTTGACATTTCGAAATTCCTGAATAATTCGATCGTATGCGCCCTTAAAATAAAATCCGCAAAATTGGCTTTAAACGTCATTTTCCGTATTTGTATAGTAAAGCGTAAAATAATATATAAAAAAAATTCTACCGCATTTACAGTTATATAGCAATAAAACTCCTTAGGCAGATTTCATAGAAATTACAGATTATATGACGTAAATTTTAAGGAGCATTAATCTTAGACTTTGTTATTTTTAATTTGGCCTTACTAGCTGACTACTGTGCACCTAATATGAATCATTGATGCTTAGTCTCATCCATGTGCTTGAATTCGCTGTTATATTGTACTACACCTTACTGTTGTGACATTGATAAGCTGTTCAATCTCTTTCTAAATATACATTACTCAATTAGTAATACTGTCTCTAGCGACACCAAAATTCAATTGTAAATTGCAAAACTGTATTACATTATATTAAATTTTCAGGATATGTTTTCTCGTTAGAATGTTTATGCACTAAACCCCCAACATACCTTAAACACATTTGATACATGTAATTTCGAAACCAAATGTAACGAAAAAGGTAGTTCTTCTTAAATGTCTGTAAAATTCTTTGACATTTATTTAAATTTTTGTGGGCCAAGCATGTGATTTGTATTTATCACATAGAAAATTCTGCTACAACTTGATGCTTTCCGCAACTTTTATAAGATGCATATTATTCCTAAGTTACCATCATTGAGGGTGTTACATGAGAAAAGAGATTATTTTTTGCTTTCTGCAAGAATTTCAATAAGCCAAAAAACACGAGTCCTTATATATTAATTAATTGAGCCCCGCCCCCATAACACCAGAACCCCTGACCCTGGGGCCATAAAATTCATAATTTTAAAAGAGGCATTCTTGCTGATCACAAGACGAAAGACCACCTTTAAGCAATGGCTTAATGGTAGCTTAATGGTGACTTAATGGTGGCTTAAAGAAGTTAATTCCTTTAAGCCACCATTAAGCCACCATTAAGCTGCAACTTACAGGTGCTTAATGTCCAAACTTCATTGAGCTACCATTAAGCCACCATTAAGCTGAGCTTAATGGTGACTTAATGGTCAACCCTCAATAAACTTTTACGCATCTTATATAGAATCTTTGAACTAACTTTTAGTTATTTTAATATCATTTACGCAAAATCTATTCCAACTCATAATTCTTTCGAAAATTTCTACGTTTTTGTGTAAAATCACTAACAAAGTTAGCTAATAGCCACAGGGGCTTGCTCGAGGTGTCTAATTTTTTCTTAAAATCATTTACAGTGATAATAAAACAAGACATCCTGTTTCAGAACCGTATATTATTTTTTTTTAAATAAATCATTATTACATGCGTTGTTTTTATTATTAGTGTATATGATTTTTAAAAATAAATAATTATTACACACCGTGAGCAAGTCCTTGTGAAATATCTTAAATTTACAATACCAAAAATCAATTTGTTCTTAAAATTATCTGTATTCATGAACACAAAATATATAATTACTTTTAAAAAAAATGGTATTTTTATTTCATGTGTTAAAAGAAACATTCCGCTACAGAATTCACAGGAATAAAACTATATAATCTCATGAAAAAAAATCTCTGTCCTTTTTTTGTGACTGGTATACAAATGTTTAGTTTTCAAAGATTGACTTTTACCATGAAAAACTTTTTAATGGCTTTTACATCATGAATAATTCTAATTAATTCGTTATTTTTTTTTTAATAATGCAGCGGTAAGTATCTGTCAAAATCTAGTCGGTTTTCAATGATTGTTATTTCAAAATCGATTTTCATATTTCCGACCAGATGTATACACATTGAGAAACGGGGTAAGATTAACAGATGATCAGTGTACAGTAAACCGACTGGTCAGACAATAGACCTTAATTAGGTGTCCACCGTCCTCGGTCAACTAACAGGGAACTATACATACACAACGTACACTGACAGATTTTAATGATCGATTAGTTTTTTAAAAATTTAAATTTAACGCAAGCATATAACAAATTAAAAATTATGATTCTTCGTAAAAAGTCAATTATTTTGATACCCTTTATGATACAAAAAGAATTAAAACTGAATATGATATTCTAAAAAAAGTTTTTGTAAACGTAATTAACCAGGTAATCTTACGCGAGGATTGTCACTAAATTGTTGACACAGAAACCGTTAATATCCGCAGTATATTAAAAATAATAGTAGAATCTATTTTTCCTCTTTCTTTTTCGATGATAGACTTTTGTGTTTTATCTATAATTAATTTATTTTCAGTCATGATTTAATGCTTACATTTCGAAAATTTTCGAATAACAGAGCGAAGAACTCAATCACATTACATCAATCTAAAAGCCGAATTCAGTGTAGAAATATATATTAATGTCTTAAGATCCGCAAATAAAATTGTTTATATTTTGATTAATAGATCAATTCAAGACTTTTGGAAATGTTCAACAAAATACTAGTCCAAGTCCAAACAAATTTTGAAAAAAATAAAGGTTAAATATTTAATATTTTCTTTATATTATCAAGAGCGGCGATAGCCTAATGGATATGGCGTTCGCCTTGCAACCCTAAGGTCATGGGATCGCTCCCCGACTATGGCGCTTTTTTTTTTTTGGATTTTGAATTTCGTTCTTTTTCATTAATTTTACCAAATCAAGATATAAGCGAACTCTACATTTATAATATTGATAACAAATCACTATAAAAATAATTTTTCACCCATATAATCAATATTATGGACTGCGTAATGTGACTTAATGGTGGCTTAATGGTGGCTTAATGGTAGCTTAATGGTAGCTTAATGGAGTTTGGACATTAAGCACCTGTAAGTCTAGCTTAATGGTAGCTTAATGGTGACTTAATGGTGGTCTAAAAGTTACCATTAAGGACCTGTAAGCCACCATTAAGCTACCATTAAGCTACATTTAAGCACCCATTAAGGACTTTGAGTTGGCTTAATGGTAACTTAATGGTGGTCTAAATGTTACTTAAAGGTGCTTAATGGTGACTTAATGGTGACTTAAAGACAACCATTAAACCACCATTAAGGACCTATAAGCCACGATTAAGCCGGACTTAAAGGGTGTGTTTCATCTTGAATTATTCCCTGTATCACTTTCATATTTAGAAAAAGAACAGGATCAGACTTATACATCAGTAGTAAACTGTGCCATGATTTGAAGCCGATCTCCAGCTTGACACGATAATTAATTATTACTAATTCTGACGTAACAAACCTACAATCAATCAATCTTTAATTTGATTGTTTATGATACATACATGTAATATTCTATAGCCCAGGTCTTTTTAATAATTTCATAGCGTCATAAAATACTATATTTTTGATAATCCACGTCATATATCAGGTAAAAACGTTGAAAACTACCATATCCCTTGGTAAAAATAAAGTCCAGGCTTTTTGACATTATAAACATTTCTTTCTTTTTAACATTACCTTGTCCTTGTCCACAAGCAAATTCAATTTGTAAAAATGTACGCGCAAGAATTATAAAGTTGAAAATAAAAAGATACCATTCAAATCGGCTTTATATTGAGTTTTAAAATACAACATGTTGTGACAACACAAAACACATTCTTTTTCTTATTAGTATATTAATTTTTAAAAAAGATATTTCACAATAATCAAATCAGTATTTTTTACTGACTACACAGATTACATTTCAAGGTATTTTCATACAAATTTAAGACAAATTCACATTAACAATGACAAAATTTCAATTTCAGTTCAAACATTTCTACTTAATATCTTATCTATACAAGAAACTGCAAATGAATAGAACCTTGTCTATCATTTGTTACATTTCACAAAATCAATTTACATAACGTGATAAAACATATTGGATGGTGGCGCTTTTCGCATTGCATATATACATATATCGATTGCAGTCTATTTTTCCATATATTTTATTAAATGTGTGTTGTTTCGTTTACTTCTTTGATTTTCGAACATTTTTTTTCTAACTCAATCAAATCAATTTAATTTGCATTTGTTTTCTGATCTCAGGATTCATAAATGTATTTTTTGATGCTTTTCGTATATGAACCAATTTTCTTTTTTTCCCCAACATTTTTTTTTATAATTCCTCTTTTAACTTTCGAATCTTTCAACTATCTAAATCAACTTCTCTGACAAACTTTTGCATTTGATTACTGAGCTGAGGATTCAAGCCAATAGGTCTTCACTGGTCTCCGTCCCTGTAAAACAATTCCATTTAATTACTATTATAGTATATGCAATAAATATTTATACAATATACAGTATAAACAATACCTCTGATTTTATATATCATGTATGCATATTCTCAATAAGTGAAAAAAATCAGAGAATTTTAAAATTAACTATAAAGAAAGCATTTGGGTTTAATTCTTTTCTCATACACATGTGTGCAGATGCACATTCTACCGAATACTATGTTTGATTGAAAGTTAGGAAATTATTCTCACAATAGGGTCTTCATATTGTACGCACCATTGTATGAATTTGAATGATGAGAAAATACATATCTATTTTTCATTAAAATAAAATGTATGGTTTCTATTATTAGTCCAAAAAGCTAGTACATATTCCATAAGTACATTAAAAAAACTCATCAAGTCATTTAATTCTTCTATACATACATGTAAACAAAGGAGCAAAATCTGCTTAATAGCATTGGGAAAAATGACGTTTGATAAAAAAAATTAGGATATCTGCATTAATCAGAATAATCAAAACAGATATTGACCAGTGCAAAGAAATCCACAAAACAGATATTGATTTGTGCGAAGGAATCCTCAAAACAGATATTGACCTTTGCAAAGGAAATCCTCAAAACAGATACATGTATTGACATGTGCGAAGGAAATCCTCAAAACAGATATTGATCTGCGCAAAGGAATCCTCAAACGGACCTGTACATAAAGACATTAATGGTTCATGCGAATGTGTATTTTTCGTTATTTTATTTTTTTTCCATGTATTCTCTCCAATAATTTTAAAGACAGTGTACCTTTCTCCTTTTCTTTTACACCCCCCCCCCCTCAAAAAGAAATATCTGGGCTGTACTGCGCTTTATGTTTCGAAACTATGCAATTGAAGAAAAAAAGGGTACAAAGCGTAAATAATTTTAATCAATCTTTACCTTTGCTTTGATATTTCCTCTTTCAAAGGCTTTAAAATGGCAAAAACCTTTGATTAATTGGAACGTCTTGCTACTAACATGGATTTTCCCTCCTAAAAATTGATTTTAAAATATAAACATATACATGTATTGCTATTGGCTATAGCTATGCTGTACATGTATCCTATTCTTTTAACAAACTGTACTTGTCAATAAATATCATTTTAAAATAATAAATGCCTTAATTTCTTTTTCTCAATTGCAAATCCTAAAGGTTGCGCAGACAGGATTACAAACCTCTTCCGGCAGATTTCAATCTTTTCGCCATGCTTACTGTTTCCCCAAATAAACAATATCTTGGCATTTTAAGTCCAAGAAGTCCAGCTGCACACGGACCTGTCAAATTAATGAGAATATCACACATCATTTTTAAAGGAAAAACAATCTTGTATTAATACAGTGTGTTATACGTTCATGTAACTACCAATTACACAGAAATTATCAATATTTACTACTTATTCGAAATCGAAAAAAGGAATTCATAAAAATATATAAAAATAATTTAAATTGCTTTGTCAAAGTATTTATATAAGAAAACACAAAATATAGGATATCCATATATAATTAAAAGAATAATGATATTGAATAAAGGTATATTTTTTGTAAATAGATAAAATACCTGAATGGATTCCGATCCGAACTTTAACAATTTCAAGTCTTTCAAATGTTCTAGGAACTTGGTATCTTTTCATTATTTCTTGAAGAACAAGGGCCAAATTGCAAATATGCAACGCATGCGCATTGCCATTTCTTTCAGGTACTCCACTAGCAACCATGTAAGAGTCTCCGAGTGTCTCTATTTTTTGGACATCGTATTTTTTTGCTTCCCTGTCAAACAATCTTAAGAAAGATTTTTGCATTAGGAAAAAGCATTATCAATCATATACGATTTGAAAGGGAAAAAAATGCATAGTATGGGTAGTCATAGGGTTATTGAGTCTTTGACCAAGAAAGATATAACAAATAAAAATCATAAATTTAAATATTTCTATAGATATAAATAATGTGTGTTATGATATGATATGAGAAAAACTGGTGCATACCCATATAAATCATTAAGTAAATTAATGATCTGTTTAGCCGAACTTCTGGTTTCCAGTTCCGTAAAATTTACGATGTCGCTCATGAAAACTGTGACATTTTCAAAGCTTTCGGCATTGACAGTTCCTGTATTTCTAAGGTTCTTCGGTATCCATTGGTATTTGAGACTTTCTGTCACCTCCCTCTCCGCAGCTAACTCTTTGGACTTGCATTCTAACTCTACGGCATTGTTTGTTATTTCCAGCGTCATGTCACCGATACACAGAATATACCATATTGTTAAAATGATGCTCACAATAATAACGATGAACTGAACAGTGAGATATACGTGGAACTGAAATTCGGCGTTTTTGTTTATGTCCAATAATTTCCCAATTAAGACTTTAGAGAGGAGTTGCTGGGTGTCAAATGCGAAATCGATTAATTCTGTCATGTTTTCAAAATACATCAAGCCAAAGGATAAACGATCTTCTTTCGATTTTGTTTTACACGTCTTAAGAAATGATTCAGACCAAGCAGTATTTCGTACATCCTCCAAGTACCTTTCTGCGCTCTGATTTTTCTTCAAAAAGGCAGTTTTGGTATCAGAACTATAATGTGTAAATATATCTTTATAACTTTTAGCTTCCCCGGTCAGAAATTTATAATTCTGTAAGGTCTCTGAAGTAAATTCACAAGTCGCATATTGGAATGCTATTCTAGCTCGCAACAAACCAATAACATCTGTCCATCTTACTAGTGATGAAAATGCTACAACGTCTAGAATGCAGCTGTACTCCCCTGGTATGGAAACATCATTGAACATGATATTCATCAACCCAGTGTTTATCTGGGTGTAGAAAGTTAGATGATCTTCAACTGAGAAAGACCCATTTTCAATCTTCGCTCTTGATAAAAGAATTCTCTTTTGAACTTCAAAGATTGTGTGTGGAATCCCCTGGATGTAAATGGCATCGTGATTTGACGGTATTTGTGCAAAGGCTTGATCTGAATTCGTTCTGGCTTTCAGCATAATGTCCAGCAGTACATTCCTGTTCGAGGAGGTGCTGAGATATGTTGAAGAGATCCCTCTTTCTCTCTGCAGCATTTGGATCAGGTTTGCATACAAATGTGCAACTTTGACCTTTTGAATGGAATCAACTGAAGCTTTTTTAACCTTTGCTGCTTTCAAAAGACTGTAAGTTGCCAGAGAAGTCAGAGATAACACTGGTATCAAAATTATTATGATCATTTTCCAGTGTTTTGCACCTCTGTTGCAAGTAGATCGCCGTTTATCTCTCTGAATACTTTGTTCCCGTAAGTTACTTTGTGGTTCTTTGGAAATCCTTGAGCTCAAAGATTTATTTTCATCGCATTGATGAACATTTGTCAAAGTGGATTTTGGGGGTATGGAACTAGTCGTCATTGCTTTGTTTTTTTTTTCCAGGTAAATTTACTGTATTTCAGACATCTAAAAAATATAAATAAAATTTAGTACATGTAGTCTGAACTACGACGGCGTATTAGTGCCATTTTAACAATGTAGAATTTTTTTTTAAAATCGTTTGTACGATTTAATAAATCGTTTGTACAATTTAATAAATAGTTTGTACGATTTATTTATTGAAAATGTACAAACGATTTACTAAATTGTACAAACGATTTATTAAATCGTACAAACGATTTATTAAATCGTACAAACGATTTAATAAATTGTACAAACGATTTAACAAACAAATTGTACAAACGATTTATTAAATTGTACAAACGTTTTACTAAATTGTACAAACGATTTATTAAATCGTACAAACGATTTACTAAATTGTACAAACGATTTATTAAATCGTACAAACGATTTACTAAATCGTACAAACGATTTATTAAATCGTACAAACGATTTAATAAATTGTACAAACGATTTAACAAACAAATTGTACAAACGATTTATTAAATCGTACAAACGATTGACTAAATTGTACAAACGATTTATTAAATCGTACAAACGATTTACTAAATCGTACAAACGATTTACTAAATCGTACAAACGATTTAAAAAAAAATTTCTACATTGTTAAAATGGCACGAATACGCCGTCGTAGAAATACAATATAAGAAAAAAATTAGAAGATCAATGCACTTTACGTTAAAAATCCAAAAGAAATAATAATAAATTACCTTTGCTTTTTGCATGCGCCCATAAATAACACTAAACTTCTGTAGTATATATAACTGACAAATTATTTCGATGTTTATTACTTAAGTATCCTTTCATCTTTTGTTTAACATCTCGAACTTTGATTGACATATTGGTGATGTATGAGTATGCATATAAATTAAGATAGGAGTGGTTTTAAATTTGAAATAAACCTTTTTATTATTACCATATCATGTGAGTTCAATGGGTGTATTTTGAATATATTCATGCAGTAAAAAATAATTTTATAGAAAAAATAACTAAATTATTTGTGACAACAAGATTTGATTTAAGTACTGGATTGTGTTTTGCAATTTTATTTAACAATAATTTCTATTGGTCTTCTATAAATGTCACCTTAGGTTTTTCCAGGCTTTGCGTCATTAACCGTTTTCTTGATTTGGCTGCTCGTGTTCAGGACGAATTAAATCCCGCCCATCGGTCTCACGCATTTAATATCAGAATCCCCAGATGCTTTTGTTCATTCATCCTAACGTTTGCAAATGTATGTCAATCTTTAATCATAAAATGATACATTTTCTAAATGCTAATTATACATTATTCAATATTGTGACCTACAGGCTAATGTATAATTTAGTTCATAAGTACGTGTGGTTCTTTGTTCTGCAGCACGTCAAAAAACAAAGAAGATAGCTGTGCATAGAGCATTTGTTACCGATGCCGAATAAAAAACAGATTTTAACAATTTCTGTATGCAGCAGAGGGCCAGGCAAAAACATATTATCCAACACCTCATACAAAAAGAATTGTAAATGTGTCTTCTTCAATAACTAGATGCTGTCATGAGACAGTAATACCCGCACTAAGGTGTTTGCCTCTAAAACACGCTCCTACATATTGGCCGGCTTTCCAAGGAAAAAGTCAAAATAATTCTATAATTTACATAGGCGTCGGAACGGGGGGGGGGGGGGGGGGCTAGGGCCGGTGCTTTTTTTCCAAACATATACTTAGTATAGATATTGAACATTGCTTCATAGGTTTAGCCCCCCCCCCCACTTTCCACAGACACATGGCAGTATAGGTAAAAAATGGGAAAAAGGTAGTGTATAGAAAACAAAATTTTGGTACTGAAGTTCGAATTCAACCCCCAACCCCCAACCCCCCACCCCCCCCCCCGAAATAGGATTTTCGTGTTTGGGAAATTGATGTTTTCGTTTTCTTTTTTTTTTTTTTTTTTTTTTTTTTGCTTGTCAGGTTTTTTTTAGAAGGTATAAAAATTTTTTTTTACACCTAGCCCCCCCCCCCCCACTTTGAATTTGCTTCCGACACCAATGATTTACATGTATTCATCAAACTGAGTATGAAATTCTCAGACCGGCCCTGTGACCTATAACTCAGAACCTCTTATATTTATTTTACATGCTTAATTCATTATATACCAGTTTGAATTCTATTAATGATGTAAATTAGATTTTGATAAATGTTTTGCTCATAATAGGACCTTTTTAAATTTATTAATCCCCCCCGTCGACACCACAATCACACAGCACATACTGTTTGAAATAGGCTAGATGGAAAAGTTTTGTGAAAACATCGTTTGTTATGAATTAATTTAAAATTTGTTCTTGTACTATACATGTTAACATGTAAATTTCTACATCACATCACGTTGCGTCACCTATTATCATATTTTTAGATTAAACACCATTTGGCACACCTCGGCCGATTCCCACTTCATCTGATAAGGTGACGGAATCGACGAAGGTTTGTCGAATGGAATTAGCACAAATGGCTGCAGTCTGGTGTGCATTGGATTAATTCATTTTGTGTTATAATTGGATTTATATTTCATGAAGTTGACGAGACAAACATGTATGGCAGTCGGTAAGTACAAGTTTAAGTATAGTGGGGAGTAAAATAAACCCAAACGATTAGGTTAAAGTTCAAAAAGGGTCAAAGATCATCGAATGCCACACTAGACGAATTTCATATTGTGAAGTTATCTGCCATTGTCGATGTGACATTCAGTTACTGCCAATACTGGTGCGGATCCAGAATTTTTTTTCGGGAGTAGGGAGAGGGGTTCACATCTCAGTCAAAAAATTTCCAGCCCAGAATTTCCTGACAAGCAGGAGAAAAAAAACTGAAAACCAATAAACAAAATAAAAACAATGATAGTGTGGTCAATGTTTTCTCAGTTAGGGGGAGGATGTCCAAAGTCATTTTTTATTTGCTTCAGTATATAGTCTTGTTTAAATAACAAAGCAAATTCCAGGGGGGGATGGGGGGATTCCAATCTCCCTACCCACTCCCTGTCCCTGAAATAACAATCTATTTTGTGATTCCAATTAAATAGTATATTTTTTCCATTTGACTAATTATACATATTTTGTTTCTTGTGTTTATATTATGTCTGTCTATTTGTCTGCAGAAATTATAACCTTGCCCATAAGTTTTAAGTGGGATGGGCTATACAAATGGCTTCTACATTTTATAGGTTTATTTCTTGTGACAATTAAGACCTTTTATTTGGGTACCATTAATTTTTACCTGAAATCGCTTGACCTAGGATACACATTTTTACAAGAAAAATACCAAACTTTAAACTTGGCCTAAATTTTGATCAATAGGTGCTAGGGCTTTCATGCTTAACATGTGTATTCATTGTGAACTGTCAACAGGTATAAATATGTTTGACCTTGACCCTAGAGTTTGAACCACTTAAAAAAAAATTAACCTTGGCAATTAACTTTTGAACAGGAATTACTAGGGATTTTTTTATTTCACATGTGCATTCCTTGTGACAAGACTTTCTTCTGATACTAACAATTTGAACCCTTTGACCTTGAACTTTGAGTTTGACATATATTTGAGAAACTTCAACCTTCGCCATAGGCTTCCATGCAGGGACATCAGTGTTTCACAAAAACATCTTGTCTTCATTATTATTTGGTGGTGTCTCCATGTGAGGGAAAAATTCCCAAGAGAGATGTATTCACAACAAACAAACAAATTACTTAAGAAAATATAAAACATGAATATGTTGGTCATGCATATCTCTGCATGAAAAAAAACAGCTTTTCAAATACTGCAACCATATTCTAACCCTTTCAAAACACTCATTTGAACTTTTCTGGTTTCCTTAACATGTAACGTCTGTCGTGACGTGTCGTCCATCTGTTTGTCTGAAAACCTTTTACATTTTTAACTTCTCTAGAACCACTGGGCCAATTTTACCCAATTCATATAGAAATATGTATATTTGTATGTAAGACTGTCCATCTGTCTCAATAAATTTAACCTTGGTCATCACGGTCATATCTACTGAATATTAAACTTATGTATTAGTATTTACCTGTGAGAATGGCATGGTTTTTTATGCGCCCGGATTGATAGATCCCGGGCGTATATTGTTTTTGTCCTGTCTGTTTGTCTTTTTGTCTGTTTGTCTGTTTATCTGTTTGTCTGTCTGTCTGTTGTCAACTTTAACCTTGGCCATAACTTTTGAACAATAAGAGATAGAGACTTCATATTTGGTATGCATACTCCAGTAATAAAGTCCTTTCAAATGACATCAAGGTCAATGACCTTGTGACCTTGACTGTGACCTATATGCTAAAAATAGCTTTTTCCACTGTTTGTCATAACTTTTTAACCATAGGAGATAGGGACTTCATATTTGGTATGCATACTCCACTAATAGAATCCTTTCAAACAACATCAAGGTCAATGATCTTGCGACCTTGACTGTGACCTATATGCTAAAAATAGCTTTTTACACTTTTTGCCATAACTTTTTAACCATAGGAGATAGGAACTTCATATTTGGTATGCATATGATATCGATAAAGTCCTTTCAAACGATGGCAAGGTCAATGATCTTGTGATCTTGACTGTGACCTATATGCTAAAAATAGCTCTTTACACTTTTTGCCATAACTTTTGAACCATAGGAGATAGGGACTTCATATTTAGTATGCATACTCCATTGATTAAGTTCTTTCGAATGACACCATGGTCAATGACCTTGTGACCTTGACTGTGATCAATATGCTAAAAATAGATTTTTTGAACTTTGTTGCCGCCGGGCGCATAGTGTTTCACAAACAAATCTTGTTTTTTTTCACCTGTGACCTAGAAGTTTGACCTACTTGCAAAAAAATTAAATTGTTATAAATTCATCATTTTGAAGGAGAAAAGTTAGGGCATTCATATCATAATGCATGTATATTATTACCTGTGATAAGACCTTTCCAAATAAATCATGATTT